CTCGGGCCCTGGGGTGCCGGCCCCGGGCCAGCCCCCGGCCGAGCACCCCCGGCCCGCCCAGCACTGCCGGTCCCCGGCCCGGCCCCCGGCCCGGCACCGCCGGCCCAGTCCCCGGGCCCCAGCCCCCGGCTCGGCCCGGCCCCCGGCCCAGCACCGCCGGCCCCACATGTCCCGATTTTCCCGGACATGTCCGGCTTTTTGGGATTTCCCCCCGGACGGGGATTTGGAGCCCAAAAAGCCGGACATGTCCAGGAAAATCCGGACGTATGGTAACCCTAATTTAGCAAGCCTGCTCCAGGCTTGCAGTCTCCTGCAGACAGCTCCCAGCATGCTCCATCCCCTCCCAGTGCCTGTGTGCTGACCACACGGTTCTTGGGCCATACCAACAGAGGCCTGAGCATGCTCCATTCTTGGGCTGCAGAGGCTGAGCAGGACTTTCACAGCAGTTGCTCCTCCAGTTTGCTGTGGGCTGTTGTGGTGCCAGGTATGAAAACTGAGGACAGGGAAACTGTTTCTCTCCATGTTCCCCCGGCTGCTGTCCAGGTGGCATGGAGGAGAAGGCAGAAGCGGCCTGACCTGAATGCAGAGAGGCAAGGAACAGATGGGGGAGAGGGAAGAGATACATGGCAGACAATAAGGAGGGTAGAAAACTTGCAGGAGAGGGGTTAGGAGCAGGTACTGGGGGTAGGGGTATGTCCATCTGGAAGATAACAGTCTTTTACTGCTGCTAGTTACTAGATTCCAACTCTGCTGATGACCCATGTGGGGGATCTATATGGCTCCACCTGACATTTAAGTTTTGGTGTCTTTTTTCAAGCTAGGAAATTGCTCACAATAAAAAACCTAAGTTAAAAGAATATTATTAAGGTTGCAAATGCAAGCACTCAAATGAAGAAATGCCAGAATTAAGATTGCTCATACAGTACATTAAGATACAGGGCATGTCACCATGGTGTGCTACGGAGGTGTGGTTTCTAAAGCGCACTAACATGTTGTGCACTAATTGGCCCATTCCCACCCTGCTGGGTGCACTAAAAGTTCCCTAGTGGACTTTAATGAATGTTAAAGCACCCTAGGGAACTTTGAGTATGCACCATGTTGCAATTGTAACTAATAATGCTATTCCTATTAATTATGTACTTTTAGACTGTAACCAGTCTTTCTAGTGCTGAGGAAGAAGGGGAGGGGTCTTGTGGTTAAAACACAAGATTGTGAGTCAGCAGACCTGAGTACTCGTCCGGGTTCCGGAACAAACTTTCAGTGGCCTTGGGCTATTCACTTAATCTGTCTGTATTTTTATAATTCAGGGGTAGGCAACCTATGGCATGCGTGCCGAAGGTGGCACGCGAGCTGGTTTTCAGTGGCACTCACCCTGCCCGGGTCCTGGCCACTGGTCCGGGTGGCTCTGCATTTTAATTTAATTTTAAATGAAGCTTCTTAAACATTTTTAAAACCTTATTTACTTTACATACAATAATAGTTTAGTTATATATTTTAGACGTATAGAAAGAGACCTTCTAAAAATGTTAAAATGTATTACTGGCACGCGAAACCTTAAATCAGAGTGAATAAATGAAGTCTCGGCACACCACTTCTGAAAGGTTGCCGACCCCTGGTATAATTCTTCCTATTGTAACAATCTATGGCAGAATATGCACAGGTGTCCCTGGAAAGCTGAATAGCATGCAAGTGACCCAGATTCGAACGTTTGAGCTAAAGGGGAATCTTTAATACTCACCAGTGTTAGGGTTTATCGGCCCATTTCAGATCTTCACTCTCATGTCTGTCTGTCCCCTTAGTCTCTGAGAACCTCCTGAGAACTTAAAATAGAAATAACTATGAAAATCTCTTTAGTTGTTCCCAGCTGTAGGAGAAATAGGCTTAGTGTCGAGTGTGTGTGTGTGAAATTTGCTGCAGGAAAGCTAGTCAAAGAAATGAGTTTTGTATTTCGTTCCGTATGTAGTGAGGTCCGTGGTCATTCCTATCTCTTGCGGGAGGGAGTTCCATAGCATATGTCCTGCTCCTGTTAAAGTTCTGTCTTCCTCTCTGCTTTGCCTACTGGCCAACAGTTTCATTGTTGTGGTAACTATAATGGGATGTCATGGTTGCAAAGGGAGAGTCGTTCTCATGGCAGCTAGAGACAATTCCCTGGTGGACTTTGAATATCTGAACAGAGACTTTGAACTAGACTCTAGTTAGTCAGGAGCCAGTTAAGAGAATAAAGCACTGAGGTGACATGTTCACAGCATCCCAAATTGTTAAGCAGACAAGTTGCTGTGTTTTGTACCAGACGTAGCTTTCTCGAGGGAGGGGGGGGGAATCTTCATTGCTAGATCTAATAAATTGCAGTAATCACACTATGCGGAGATTAAATCACCGCAGTTTGAGGAGGTTTGCTTTTGTCTTGAGGAGAGCAGTGATTTATATCCACTCCCAACAGATACGTGACATAATTCCTTTTACTACAGTCACTACCAAAGTTTAGTCAATGCAAAGCTTATCTTTAGGCATCTAGGATTGACAGGAATCCCATGAAACATTCTGGCACTAGTCCATAGCTATGGACAGACACTAACATCTTAAAATAAATTGAATATATATGGCATAGAGATCCAAATTTGTAATCTGTTTCAGAAACTCAGGCTTCTTCCACTTGAAATGAACTAAAATCTCCGTTTACACTGTTTAAGCCACAAAGCAAGACAATCACACATGTACCCAAGTCTAATTACATCCATTAGAGAGCAGTGGTACTTGCCAGTCAATCACAATGTCTGATACATACATTGAGAATACCACCTGAATTCCTGATCTCTGTTTTATTGAAGCAAATGCCATATTAATTCAAATTCAACATTTGATATGAATGCAGTTCCACTAAAATTGCTTAAAGGATCTGTTTGCTAAACCTTTTATATGGCAAAATATTTAGCATCTCAAAGCTGCTGATGGAACAATGAATGATAATTCTTAGATGATTTATGAATGGTGTTGAATTGAGGGCTTAGTTATGCTCCCAAATCCTTTTCCATTGGGACATTGCCAAACACAAAAGCCAGAATCTATTGGTAATCTTCTGCACAGAGAGTTAAATTTAAATACAAATATTTTCTCTTCTTAAAAGACATTTTGTATTTAAATCTTTACTTTAAATTAAAAATCCCCTAGCCTGTCTTTGAAGTTATCATAAATGCATAGATAAAATGCAACTTCTCCGACCTTCTTTAATTTGCTCTTTTTTTTTGGTTGTTTGTTTTATCCTTTAGCAGAGATTCTGGGAGAAAAAATGCTGTTAAGATTCTATAAACACTCTGGAGTGTTCATGCTTTCAAGAGCTGAAATGACCTATAGTCAGATACCATCTAAATGGACAGGAAATTGAATGAAAGATTCCAAAAAAAGCCCCTTGTATTAAGTTTTATGAGAACATAATCGGTTCATCCCCGACATGGTTACTAAGAAGCAAGTATTGTACTTGTGGATTTTATTCATCAGTGTATTTCTCATCAGCAGTACTGTTTTCTTTTATTTGTGGTCATTGTCATTTACCAAACTAAATCTGATTGGTTGAACAACCTGCTGTATAAAGCCTTAAGCTTAAGCTACAATGGCTAAATCAGCATTGGCTGGATACATGGTTAATAGCATTATTATTACTTTTGTGGTTTTCATGTTATTCCTTGGTCTTGTTAGCTAGAGTATTTATTACAGCCTTCCTTCTGATTTATTGTATCAAACTGAGAACAATGTATATGTCCTAAAGTGTGCAACAGTTCTGAAGTGCATTGTTCAAAGTGCCAGTTCAGACTGATCTACCGTATGTTGTCTTTTACTTCCTCCTCATTTATCATCTCAGACAGCTTGTATTGGACTAACTTACTTAATTGGTTTGGCAAGAGGGTCTGGGATCCTTTTTCTAATATGAGCATTCATAAAAACACGTTGAACTGACTTTTTTTTCCCAGAAGGCCCTTTTGATCATAAGACTGAAATCTTGTACACCAGGCAATGACAAATTAGAATGTCTCTAAGAATTTGTCATTATCATTTAGTTATTGTCTCACTTGGGGTTGCAAGCTTTAAATGGGTTTTTTCCCCTTGTCTTTTAATGACTTGCATTGCTGAAGAATTTTAAGTAAAATGATTAATGTCTCAGTGATGCCTAAGTAATATTTTGTTTCCTAAATAAAGTTAATCCTAAAATTTACCACAGATCAGTGCTGGTACAATATGCAGAATCCTTAGAATAATATTTAAAAATGCAATGTGTGTGCTCTCTTTTGTAATGCACAATAGAAATCAAACAAGATTCCAGTATGTACTGAACATCACTCTTCGTTTAGTCCCTTTTATTTTTCTAAGCCCTGAAATATCCCAGGTTTTTGAGATCTCCAGTTTCAAAAGTGCATCAAAAAGCACTAAAGGTGATTGGCAAAATTTCTGCAGAGGGGGAAGAGCTTGAGAAATGAGTGTTATACCAAGAGAAAAAATTAAAATCCACAGGAGGACCCAAGCTTCCAAAAGCCCTACCTCTTGAGAGAGCTCTCCTTATGCCTAAGTAAAGTAGATTTTTCTGTCATAGAGATTAACAAAACAAATAATCCTCCTTTATCATTTGGAAAAATTAATTTCTACTCCCCACGTCTAAGTGAGTGAAAACAAATAAAGCTCAGTGAGAGGGGTTCTTAATTATCAGAAACATTTTCAAAACATTGGGGCTTGGCATATCTATCAAGTAGAAATGAATGAAATTTACTTATATGTGGCCTAGTCAAAGAGGGCTGGTTTCAGAGAACCGTTTTCTTGGTCTTGGTCAAAACATCTTGACGCCAGTGTTTTGCTTTTCAATTAGATCAACTATACTGGTTTACCTCCATCAGAAGATTATATTTGCCTTCCAAATTATTCAAGTGGAATGTTCAGTTAAGGCCATCTCCAAAATGAAGTTATAACGATGAAGTGTGAGTACAAATATTGATGGTTTCTTTATTTCTTTTCCAGGCAGAGTATGAAATTGCTCCAGATGAAAAACTGGGAGAGAAAGGAAAGGAAATCATGATGAAATACCTCACCCCAGAGGTAAGGGGCTGCCAAAATGATATCACTGAAGGAATGCAGGGCACTCCTCTGCTACACAGAGGATGATACAAGCTCTTAAACCAATGGTGTGCAGTTTAGTGGTAATATCCTCCGGGGAACAAAACTTAATCTGTTAAGTAAAACAGCCAGGTAGTGGAGTCACATTTCAGTCCAAAAATTCACTTTGAAAGATAATGAACTTTTTAGGGGCCTTATGCATCCATTGTTGCATAAGAAGGTTTCTCTGGTCTCTTCCCTTTACGTAGAAGTTACACATATGCAGTATGAATACAATCCTCACACAGTGGCCACCATTAAAAAGCCAACATCTGCCAACAGATTCCACAGTTATTTCCTATCCTAATCAAACAGAAAAACAGTGACAATCCAGACACGATTATGTGGTAAGTGTTGGTGAGTGGTGGATTTTTAGTGGCAATTGCTATCTATCAATTGGTGAATTAGACTCCTTAATGTTGTATCTCTATCCCTTGTAAATACTTTATGGAGCTGTGTGTCTCACAAGACATGGAACGCTGTTCTTCAGCTGCCTTCTTAAGGATAGAAAGCAACAAAGAGTCCGGCTACCCCTCTGATACTTTCTTAAGGATAGGTTCATACTCCGAAATCATATTCTTTTCTCCCTATCAAGTCCTTGCTGTTAAATCTTCAGTATTCATGAAGGAGAAAAGCTCATGTGAACATTGTGTCCACTGGGTGGCATTACGAACTGGACCACGAGGCTGCTGCAAGAATTTTGGGCAGGCTGCAGCTGGGACCAGTTCTTTTTTGTTTTTTGTTCATTTCCTCACCACATTTAACCTTTTGCAGAAGTCTGCGCCAGTAAGCAACAAACGCTGAGCTTCAAACACATGAATTATCGTAGGCTTTCAGCTGCTTCAAGCTTTCTAAGAGTAACTGAGTCCCACGACCACCGCTTAGAGGATTTTACAAGAGGAACACGTTTAACCCCAAGGATAACGTATTACATGTTGTAGTAAATGCATTTAAAAACATTTAAATGACAGTGTGATTTGGAGGTGGAAGGGCAGGGCAGACCACCTTTTTTCCAGTCAATCATTTTCCTACGATAAAGTTGATTGTGTACTTTAAGTTCTCTCAGGGAGTTGTCTGCAACCTAATTTCATTTGCTGAGCTGATTAGTTTTAAGTATATAAAAAAGAGATGCTGCTGGTATGAATTGCTGCTACCCATTCATTATAGACCCTAAGTTTACCACTGGGTTTTATTTTTCTAAGATGGTAGTTTAGGGTAAAGTTTCTGCTGCAGAATAATGAGGGACGTGGGTTGAAAATTTAAAGGCCATCATTCTCCTCTTGCCCCAGAAAGACCAGTTTTGTTTTTCTTTGCAGTGGAGAAGTGAGTGTTGGTGATGCTAGTGACATTTTAGCCCTAATCAAAGCGAGAGAAGGGCAGTGCTCACTGGCTTGAGTTAAGCACGACCAGGAACTGTGCAGTTTCCCAAAACATTGCTGACAATCCACCTCAATGCTGACCAACAGCACCGCTGCAATCCTAGGGTATGTCTGCATCACAATCCGTTGTGACTGACTGCAGCACTTGTAGACATATCCAAGCTAGCTTTGATCTAGCTAGCTTAGGGTGACCAGACAGCAAGTGTGAAAAATCGGGACGGGGGTGGAAGGTAATAGGAGCCTATATAAGAAAAAGCCCCAAAATCAGGACTGTGCCTATAAAATCGGGACATCTGGTCACCCTAACTTGAATTACAGCAGCAGTAAAGCTGCAGCAACGTTGGGTAGCTGCTTGAGTACATACCCGTGGTCCTTGGCAGACGTGAGCAGCTCATGTTGCTGCCTCTTCTGCTATGGCTTCGCTGCTATTGTTATTTGAGTTAGCTAGCTCACAGCGAGCTCAGGTTTGTCTACATGTGCTGCCATCACACCTCTGAGTGCTGTGTAGACAAACCTACCGTCTCTTGAGCAGTAGAAAATTCATTTCTTTCTCATCAAAAGGAAGGGTGGTCTTGAGGTCAAAGGAGAATCATAGAATTACAGAAATGTAGGGCTGGAAGGGACTTCAAGAAGTCATTAAGTTCAGCCCGCTGCACTGTGGCAGGACCAAGTAAACCACCATCACTGACGTGTTTGTCCACATCTTTACTAAGGTGTGGTGCCTAGAACTGGACACAGTACTCCAGTAGAGGCCTCACCAGTGTGAAGTAGACTGGGATAATTACCTCCCATGTCTTACAGGCAACATTCCTGTTAATGCACCCCAGATATTAGCCTTTTTCTCAGCTGAATCACATCGTAGACTCACGTTCAATTTGTGATCCATTATAACCTCCAGATCCTTTACTGCTTAGCTAGTTATTCCTCATTTTGAAGTTATTCATTTGATTTTTCCTTCCTAAATGAAATACTTTTCACTTGTCTTTACGGAATTTCATCTTGTTGAATTCAGACCAAGTCTCCAATTTATCAGGGTCGTTTTGAATTACAACCCTGTCCTCTAAAGTGCTTGCAACCCCTCCCAGCTTTGTGTCATCTGTGTATTTTATAAGCGTACTCTCCACTCCATTATCCAAGTCATTATTGAAAATATTGAATAGAACTGGACCCAGGACTGACCATGAAGGACCCCACTAGATACGCTCTCCCAGTTTGACAGCGAACCATTGATAACGACTCTTTGAGTGCTGTCTTTCAAACATTGTGCACCCACCTTATAGTAATTTCATCTAGACCACATTTCCCTGGTTTGCTTATGAGAGTGCTATGTGGGACTATGTCAAAAGCCTTACTAAAATCAAGATATATCAAGATTTATTAATTATATTAAGACTCAGGATTTGGGGTTTCCATCCTGTGTCCTGTCATAATATTTACTCACCTGACTGTGCTGTGAGGCTTCATTCCTTTAAGATTCATAGGTAGAAGGGATTATAGAAATGTGAAGTTATATTATTTCCTTTGTAACCTAACTCCAGGTCTCCAGAGGTGGGAGATTAGTCCCTGCACTAGCCGCAGCCCTTCGCTTTGTTATTACTGGAAGAAGATACTGTGTCATTTTTGTTTCTTTTTGGAGATGACGTCAGTGCAGCTCCATATGGAGGAGAAAATATTTCCCAGAGGCTAATCTAATTGTGCCACCTCTGCAGACTGGTTACTAGATTTACTAATCCAAATCTCCTCCTTTCTCAAAGACCTTAAGGGCTTGTCTACACTACCCCACAAACGGTATTTAATTAATGCTAACTAGGAACTATTTTTTTTGTTCACACCTTTAGAGTCTACATGGCGGCGTTACAGTAAGGGAGTGTGCACTGCTATTCACCCTCCCCCCCATACACACCCATAGTCCGAACTGCAAGGCAATGTAGACATAGCCTAAGTATATAGAGCAGATGCCCTGATGGAGTACTATCCAAGCCAGCAAAGAAGAGCTCTTTTTCATTAGGGGTTTGCATTTCTCTGTTTAATTACCTGCCCATTAAAATAGACAAGTAATTTCAGATTCAAACACCTTCTGCTTTCAGATGAACATTTCTCTTCAGCAGGTTTATGTCTGTACTTCAAAGAACCTCACTGTCTTGGTATAAAAATAGTTTGGCATAAAGCTTGATTGATGGAAGAAAATTGTAGATGTTCTTGATTTATTTCTTGGAATAATGGTTCAAATTTAAAATCAGAGTAAATTTGTTGCTGCTGCTGTTTGGAATGCAGGAACAGAAGCAAAATCAAACTAAAATGCCGACTCCATATTCTGGCTATTAATAATTATTATTATTGTTGTTTTTATTTAGATTTCTAAGTAGTTTGTAGTGTTTTAACTGTGTCATGCCCATTAGGATGCAATATATGTAATAGATCATCATTATATCACGGGATGCTCATAGCCAGCTTGCAGGCATGCCTGTCACACCCTGAGTGTCTGTGTGCTAGACAGCCCTGGTTCAGCAGCTCTGCCCCAGCAGTCTGTCTGCAGCCCCACTCTGGCTTCCACCAGTCTTGTTACAACCAGCAAGGCGACCCCAACACACTCCCAGTTCCAAATTTCCCTACAACTGTGTGCCCTGAGTGTCCAGCCCTTCCCAGGGCCACTCAGAGTTCTAATAAGGTTTGTTGCTCCTTTAAGTAGACAAAAGCACATTACAGCTTATTAACTTAACTGGGGTAAATACACCCTTCCCTTCAAACACAGCACTGAGCTGGTAAATAGTAAAAATAAAACAAATTTATGAACAAAATATACATAGGATTAAGTGAGTTCAAGTATAAGGAATGAAGATAGAAAGAGTTACAAGTATAACAAAATAAAATATATCATCACTCTAAAATATGCTCAGTTACACATGCCATAGAAACAACAGGAAGAAAACATTTCCCCCAAATAAATAGACCATACCTCACTACCCCCAAAATCCTCATGTGACTCTCACAGCTGTGAATTCCAGAGTAAAAGACCCTCTGTTGAGAATATTCAACACTAGCCCCCAGACAATCAAATCTAGGGTGTGCTAGCTCAGCACCTCCCTTTGGGTGTTGTGGAGAGAGGCAGTGCCTCAAATAACCATGACTCAGACTATGATCAAAGTCCACATCTTGAATTGAACTTGGAAGCAAATAGGTAACCAGTGCAGTTCATGGAGAAAAGTGCTCATATGTTTGCCATGGCTAATACAACAAATAAGGTAAGGAGCATCATTCTGTACTGGCTGTAGCCACCAGATAGTCTCCATGTACAGCCCCACTTAGAGGACACTTTGTGGCTTGTGGATTGGATTATTACAAGCATGTTTCACCATGGCAAGCTGCAGAGCTGCCTAACCAGATGCAGATAAAAATAGGTGCTTTTGGCCACAGAAGTAGTTGTAATTTCAAGCTTAATTCCAAGTAGGGATCCTCCATTCTTCCACCTGACCCTGATGCATTAACATTCCCTCTGTCTTGTTTGAACTAAGCTGAAGCCAGCATACTCACATCCAAAATCCCAGTCTCAGCCAAAAACTGGGA